AAAAATAGTATCGTTCGATAACACGATTTATTTATTGTGAAGTTGTCTTTGCCACAATGCCCGTATAGGATATGCTGGCAATAACACGGTCATTAATTAACAATAGGAGTTTGATTTTTTATAACAATCTTTTAATAGGGCAAGAAGCAAGTGTCCATTGTTCGCATTAACGGTTGTCCGTATTGAGCGTGTTAGGTTTAGAGAAAATGTGAGGTCTTTACCCAGGGACAAGGAAAACTGCCAATAATAATTAACTAGGTGTCCGTGCTAAGTGGGTGCCCGTAAAGAGGGGTCCAACAAACGTACGGTAGCTGGTAAAGATCGAGGCTATCGCATTGTGGGAGCCTTTGTTTAAAATTGAATTCTAATAAACGAGCTAATATTCTACTTTGGCGGGACTTTCGAATTTAGAAAACACGATGTTTTTTGTTGCTCAGCAGGGGCGGATCTAAGGGGAGGGTGCAGGGGGTGCGCCCCCCCGAGATTACCTGCGGTTTTCTAATACAACTGGTATTCTGCAAAAAAAGACTATGTGGTTTATTGGTGTTGAAGTAGAGCAAGAGACGAGTGCACCCCATCCTAAAAAAAATCCTGGATCCATCCCTGTTCAGTCAATCTCCGGCTAACCCTCTTGGTGAAGCAACCATCGGAGGCACATGTGCCTCTGTTCAAACCTTTGTCCCTTATAAGGGTTTCACTACAAGCGGCTCTCTCGACCCACATAAACAGTGCTATGTACTCGCAAAAGGGTTGTGTGGTATACGACTGGCTGATTTTGCGAAAACAGAGCTATTCTGGATTTCACTCATGAAACTTGGCGCTTCTGCATTGCTGTCTAAGCTAGGATAGCCTTTCACACAGAAAAATTATTAACGCAAAGATTACAAGCGTATTTGTTGCCCCAGATTTTTGAAATACGCAAGAAAGAATTACTTAAAAATCCAGGCTAAAATTGCTGCTAGTCAAGCAAGCTAAACGAAGCAATGTTTCTGGAAAACGTTCACTAATTGACATTTAGTGTCTCTTGTGACTTAAGAGGTGACAAGAGCAAACGAATAATTTAAAAAGCGGCTTCCGAAGCGATGTGTGCGACACCTAAAATTACGAAATGTGTTCTTTAGTTACACGTAATAATTGGCCAACGCTGATTTCAAATCAGCGTAAGCTCATTTGTATCAAGTTTTTTGTAGGCCTAAGTCTGTCATGTTGGCTCGTCCTTTTCCTCGCGAGCATTTTTTTTTAGGACCGTATTCTTTACCACATAGAAACACTGAAATTTTACCGGATTGGTATTGTGGTACTATTACAGAGACTGGGTTACCTGTGAAGTCACTATACAGTGAAAAGTATAGACTGAGATTTCCTATCAAATGGCACTGAGCATGAGAAAGAGAAAACCCTTAGCACTACGTTTATTACTGTAATTCCCTGATCCACTGCCTCAAATGAAAACAAGTTGACATAGCCATACTCCACTTCCCCCTTTACATATGAAATTAGGCTACTTATTAAATCTTGATCTGTGCTGCGTGATTTGTGGGTTCCTCCTTTTCTTGTCTTTTATTTTCATTGGTGAGAGACTTGGGAATAGACTGAAAAATTTTCAAATGCGAATTAGATACATCTGTGCTTGGCACTTTGGTGTTAACTCTCCGGCTTTATATACCTTTGTATGCTAAGCCGCGTAGGTTACATATACAGACTCTTATATACATCATTGCTTGCGCGTTATAATGGTTGTAGCCTCGATGATAAGAGACAGACAAAAAAATACAAACTTACAACTTCTGTAGCTTAGATAGATTGGATAATATCCCAAATGGAAGCTGTTCAATTTGGTTGTTGTACAGCCACCTGCAAGAATAAGGTTAAGGTTAAATAAAAATGATCAGTGAACGTCGACCTCCTCCTTGTTTATTTTAGCTGCTATTTTTGTTTCTCGTTGAAACACGAGACTATTCTCGTTGACAATACGAGGTTGTTTTTTTATAACAATAGAAGCAAGTGTCCATTGTCCGCATTAACGGTTGTCCGTATTGAGCGTGTTAGGTTTAGAGAAAATGCGAGGTCTTTATCCAGGGACAAGGGTAACTGTCAATAATAATTAACAAGGTCTCCGTGTTAAGTGGGTGCCCGTAAAGAGGGGTTCAAGAAACGTACGGTAGCTGGTAAAGATCAAGGCTATCGCATTGTGGGGGCGTTTGTCAAAAGTTTAAGTAGAATAAACGAGCTAGTATTCTACTTTGGTGGGAATTTCGAATTTAGAAAACACAATGTTTTTTGTTGTTCAGTCAATCTCCGGCCGAACGTCTTGGTGAAGCAACCATCGGAGGCACGTGTGCCTCTGTGCAAACCTTTGTCCCTTATAAGGGTTTTACTGAAAGCGACTCTCTCCACCCACATAAACAGTGCTATGTACTATGATTTCTGCGGGGATCGTATGTTTTAGTATATCCTATTTGCTAGGAAGGTTTAAGGGTTTTAATCTCTTGTAATAGACTATTTAGGAAAAAACTCGACTACTTTTATCCGATAAAATAAAAAAATAGTTACTGTATTTGAAGAACACAGTTTTCTTGGGACGGGAGCTTTATTGCTGGATGGAACCAACCCTTACTGGAAAAGGCGTCAGCTACAGTATTCTACAACGCTTTTGGGTAATGTTGGTATCTTAATGTTGCTTGTATGCTAGCCGCGTAGGTTACTCGTACGGAATCGTATGTATACGTGGTTGAACAAGCCTAGTGTTTTAGTCTTGAACATTAGCAACAAACCGATCCGAGAAAAAAACTTACAAGTCTCTTAGTTCAGATAGATCAGAGAAGATCCCAGATGGAAGCTGCTCAATTTTGTTCCTGGAGATCGACCTGCAAGAACGCGTTTTTCAACAAAATTTTCATGACACATATGAGTAATGATATGAAACAGCCTCATCAAAATCCATTTTAAATCTGGGTTCAATTTAATAAAACGTTTAATTTACAAGTGTAGCCATTCTTTTAGAGTCTTAAAACAATAGCTACACTTGTAAATTACACTATTCGTTTTAGAAGTTTTATGAAAAAAGACCCCTGGTCATTTCTTGTAGCTGACCTCTGTATGTACCGGAAGATGGTCACACTGGTCATTAAAGAAAACTAAATTATTGATGCTCTATATACTATTTTGCATGCACCTACTACTTTCTCGCCCTCTCGTGAGCTACAATCTCAGACAAAAACCTTGAAACACTTTGGAAAATTCTGCTCCCTTTGTTCCCCCCTTCCTTTTCCCTTTTGCAATGTTGTTTTAGCCACGTAATATTGCAATCACATCTCAACATTGCAGAGGTGTTTCAAGGACTTTTAGCTAGGATTGTAGGTACGTTATCATTTTAGTAACATATAATGCATGACTGACAAAATACATATGAAAAACGACAAAAATAGTATCGTTCGATAACACGATTTAGTTATTGTGAAGTTTTTGTTCCCACAATGCCTGTATAGGATATGCTGGCAATAACAATCATTAATTAACAATAGGAGTTTGATTTTTTATAACAATCTTTTAATAGGGCAAGAAGCAAGTGTCCATTGTTCGCATTAACGGTTGTCCGTATTAAGCGCGTTAGGTTTAGAGAAAATGTGAGGTCTTTACCCAGGGACAAGGGAAACTGTCAATAATAATTAACAACAAGGTCTCCGTGTTAAGTAGGTGCCCGTAAAGAGGGGTTCAAGAAACGTACGGTAGCTGGTAAAGATCGAGGCTGTCGCATTGTGGGAGCCTTTGTTTAAAGTTAAATTCTAACAAACCAGTTAATATTCTACTTTGGCGGGACTTTCGAATCTAGAAAACACAATGTTTTTTGTTGTTCAGTCAATCTCCGGCCAGCACATGTGCCTCTGTTCAAACCTTTGTCCCTTATAAGGGTTTCACTGTAAGCGGCTCTCGACCCACATAAACAGTGCTATGTACTCGCAAAAGGGTTGTGTGGTATACGACTGGCTGATTTTGCGAAAACAGAGCTATTCTGGATTTCACTCATGAAACCTGGCGCTTCTGCATTGCTGTCTAAGCTAGGATAGCCTTTCACACAGAAAAATTAGGCATTAACGCAAAGATTACAAGCGTATTTGTTGCCCCAGATTTTTGAAATACGCAAGAAAGAATTACTTAAAAATCCAGGCTAAATTTGCTGCTAGCCAAGCAAGCTAAACGAAGCAATGTTTCTGGAAAACGTTCACTAATTGACATCTAGTGTCTCTTGTGACTTAAGAGGTGACAAGAGCAAACGAATAATTTAAAAAGCGGCTTCCGAAGCGATGTGTGCGACACCTAAAATTACGAAATGTGTTCTTTAGTTACACGTAATAATTGGCCAACGCTGATTTCAAATCAGCGTAAGCTCATTTGTATCAAGTTTTTTGTAGGCCTAAGTCTGTCATGTTGGCTCGTCCTTTTCCTCGCGAGCATTTTTTTTAGGACCGTATTCTTTACCACATAGAAACACTGAAATTTTACTGGATTGGTATTGTGGTACTATTACAGAGACTGGGTTACCTGTGAAGTCACCATACAGTGAAAAGTATAGACTGAGATTTCCTATCAAATGGCACTGAGCATGAGAAAGAGAAAACCCTTAGCACTACGTTTATTACTGTAATTCCCTGATCCACTGCCTCAAATGAAAACAAGTTGACATAGCCATACTCCACTTCCCCCTTTACATATGAAATTAGGCTACTTATTAAATCTTGATCTGTGCTGCGTGATTTGTGGGTTCCTCCTTTTCTTGTCTTTTATTTTCATTGGTGAGAGACTTGGGAATAGACTGAAAAATTTTCAAATGCGAATTAGATACATCTGTGCTTGGCACTTTGGTGTTAACTCTCCGGCTTTATATACCTTTGTATGCTAAGCCGCGTAGGTTACATATACAGACTCTTATATACATCGTTGCTTGCGCGTTATAATGGTTGTAGACTCGATGATAAGCGACAGACAAAAAAAATACAAACTTACAACTTCTGTAGCTTAGATAGATTGGAAAATATCCCAAATGGAAGATGCTGAATTTTGTTGCTGTACAGCCACCTGCAAGAATAAGGTTAAGGTTAAATAAAAATTATCAGTAAAAGTCGACCTCCTCCTTGTTTATTTTAGCTGCTATTTTTGTTTCTCGTTGAAACACGAGACTATTCTCGTTGACAATACGAGGTTGTTTTTTTATAACAATAGAAGCAAGTGTCCATTGTCCGCATTAACGGTTGTCCGTATTGAGCGTGTTAGGTTTAGAGAAAATGCGAGGTCTTTATCCAGGGACAAGGGAAACTGTCAATAATAATTAACAAAGTCTCCGTGTTAAGTGGGTGCCCGTAAAGAGGGGTTCAAGAAACGTACGGTAGCTGGTAAAGATCGAGGCTATCGCATTGTCGGGGCGTTTGTCAAAAGTTTAAGTAGAATAAACGAGCTAATATTCTACTTTGGTGGGAATTTCGAATTTAGAAAACACAATGTTTTTTGTTGTTCAGTCAATCTCCGGCCGAACGTCTTGGTGAAGCAACCATCGGAGGCACGTGTGCCTCTGGTCAAACCTTTGTCCCTTATAAGGGTTTTACTGAAAGCGACTCTCTCCACCCACATAAACAGTGCTATCTCCTATTTGCTAGGAAGGTTTAAGGGTTTTAATCTCTTGTAATAGACTATTTAGGAAGTAACTCGACTACTTTTATCCGATAAAATCAAAAAAGTTTTATTGCTGGATGAAACCAACCCTTACTGGAAAAGGCGTCAGCTACAGTATTCTACAACGCTTTTGGGTAATGTTGGTATCTTGATGTTGCTTGTATGCTAGCCGCGTAGGTTACTCGTACGGAATCGTATGTATACGTGGTTGAACAAGCCTAGTGTTTTAGTCTTGAACATTAGCAACAAACCGATCCGAGAAAAAAACTTACAAGTCTCTTAGTTCAGATAGATCGGAGAAGATCCCAGATGGAAGCTGCTCAATTTTGTTCCTGGAGATCGACCTGCAAGAACGCGTTTTTCAACAAAATTTTCATGACACATATGATTAATGATATGAAACAGCCTCATCAAAATCCATTTTAAATCTGGGTTCAATTTAATAATTAAAACGTTTAATTTACAAGTGTAGCCATTGTTTTAGAGTCTTAAAACAATAGCTACACTTGTAAATTACACTATTCGTTTTAGAAGTTTTATCAAATTGACCCCTGGACATTGCTTGTAGCTGACCTCTGTATGTACCGGAACATGGTCACACTGGTCATTAAAGAAAACTAAATTATTGATGCTCCATATACTATTTTGCATGCACCTACTACTTTCTCGCCCTCTGGTAAGCTACAATCTCAGACAAAAAACCTTGAAACACTTTGGAAAATTCTGCTCCCTTTGTTCCCCCCTTCCTCTTCCCTTTTGCAATGTTGTTTTAGCCACGTAATACTGCAATCACATCTCAACATTGCAGAGGTGTTTCAAGGACTTTTAGCTAGGATTGTGGGTACGTTATAATTTTAGTAACACATAATGCATGACTGACAAAATACATATAAAAAACGACAAAAGTAGTATCGTTCGATAACACGATTTATTTATTGTGAAGTTTTCTTTGCCACAATGCCTGTATAGGATATGCTGGCAATAACACGTCATTAGTTAACAATAGGAGTTTGATTTTTTATAACAATCTTTTAATAGGGCAAGAAGCAAGTGTCCATTGTTCGCATTAACGGTTGTCCGTATTAAGCGTGTTAGGTTTAGAGAAAATGTGAGGTCTTTACCCAGGGACAAGGCAAACTGTCAATAATAATTAACAACAAGGTCTCCGTGTTAAGTAGGTGCCCGTAAAGAGGGGTTCAAGAAACGTACGGTAGATGGTAAAGATCGAGGCTGTCGCATTGTGGGAGCCTTTGTTTAAAGTTAAATTCTAACAAACGAGTTAATATTCTACTTTGGCGGGACTTTCGAATCTAGAAAACACAATGTTTTTTGTTGTTCAGTCAATATCCGGCCAACCCTCTTAATTAGTGAAGCAACCATCGGAGGCACATGTGCCTCTGTTCAAACCTTTGTCCCTTATAAGGGTTTCACTGCAAGCGGCTCTCGACCCACATAAACAGTGCTATGTACTCGCAAAAGGGTTGTGTGGTATACGACTGGGTGATTTTGCGAAAACAGAGCTATTCTGGATTTCACTCATGAAACTTGGCGCTTCTTCATTGCTATCTAAGCTAGGATAGCCTTTCACACAGAAAAATTAGGCATTAACGCAAAGATTACAAGCGTTTGTGCCCCAGATTTTTGAAATACGCAAGAAAGAATTACTTAAAAATCCAGGCGAAAATTGCTGCTGGCCAAGCAAGCTAAACGAAGCAATGTTTCTGGAAAATGTTTACTAATTGCCACTTAGTGTCTCTTGTGACTTAAGAGGTGACAAGAGCAAACGAATAATTTAAAAAGCGGCTTCCGAAGCGATGTGTGCGACACCTAAAATTACGAAATGTGTTCTTTAGTTACACGTAATAATTGGCCAACGCTGATTTCAAATCAGCGTAAGCTCATTTGTATCAAGTTTTTTGTAGGCCTAAGTCTGTCATGTTGGCTCGTCCTTTTCCTCGCGAGCATTTTTTTTTAGGACCGTATTCTTTACCACATAGAAACACTGAAATTTTACCGGATTGGTATTGTGGTACTATTACAGAGACTGGGTTACCTGTGAAGTCACTATACAGTGAAAAGTATAGACTGAGATTTCCTATCAAATGGCACTGAGCATGAGAAAGAGAAAACCCTTAGCACTACGTTTATTACTGTAATTCCCTGATCCACTGCCTCAAATGAAAACAAGTTGACATAGCCATACTCCACTTCCCCCTTTACATATGAAATTAGGCTACTTATTAAATCTTGATCTGTGCTGCGTGATTTGTGGGTTCCTCCTTTTCTTGTCTTTTATTTTCATTGGTGAGAGACTTGGGAATAGACTGAAAAATTTTCAAATGCGAATTAGATACATCTGTGCTTGGCACTTTTGTGTTAACTCTCCGGCTTTATATACCTTTGTATGCTAAGCCGCGTAGGTTACATATACAGACTCTTATATACATCGTTGCTTGCGCGTTATAATGGTTGTAGCCTCGATGATAAGAGACAGACAAAAAAATACAAACTTACAACTTCTGTAGTTTAGATAGATTGGAAAATATCCCAGATGGAAGCTGTTCAATTTGGTTTTTTGCCAGCCACCTACAAGAATAAGGTTAAGGTTAAGTAAGAATTATCAATGAAAGATAGCCTTATGCTTGTTTATTTTAGCTTCTATTGTTTCTCGTTGCTATAATACTCACTTCTGTAAGTACTGGTACCTGAACATGTGTGCCTGGAAAACTGGTCATTTTTCGAGAAAAAAACAAAACAAAAATAGAGTTATGCTATAAACACTATTTTGTATGCAACTACATCCATTGTTTCCCGCCCTCTGGTAAGCTAGGTTTTAATTTTAGATCAACATAACGACCAACAATATATATATATATATATTTAAGTAGTATGCACAAGTCCCTGGTTTCCACTGTTTTATTGATTATTTAAGTTTAAAACTACAAATGCATTTAGAGGTCAAATGAACAAAAAAAATTGACATTTTTCCTTTTGTCGTTTTACCTTTACCAGGCAAACAATAAAATGAAGCATCCTAAGTAAGATTTGGGCAAAGATTTTTCTTCAAAAGCCTTTATAGAAACTTCAAAGATCAAAATTCGAGCAGTTCCGAAGACTTATGAATGACCAAAACGTTTGATAAAATGTGTTAGGCAACAGTGAGCAGTACTAGCTATAGTTTGAGCCGCTAGTTTTGGAAGAAGAATCTTATGCCTCTAACGACTCCTTCGATGGCTTAAAGCGTGAGCATATGATTCATTTCTTTTATAAATGGTTGCTATGAAAGCGACGATATATCATTGAAATGAATACGTTCAGGAATTCCTTCAGGAAGCTTCGTGATCTTTTACCCTTACCCCACGCTGTTTCTCTATTCAGTTTTTGTTGCGTTCGCGCGCACGTAGACCTTCGCTTTGTATGCGAATGTAAATGCAGAATTGTATTGTTATTCATAGTGATTCACATTCATGTCTAACTCGTTGTGATGTGATGTTCTTTAGTATCAAATTCTACAAAACGAAGGTGATAATTATTTTAGTATTTTAATGCAATTGTGTCAAAAAAACTGTGTATTTGTGACCATTTAACCAATGCGTGGATCATAACAGCAATTACTACTACTAACAAGCCTAATTATGTTATCAGGTGACTCAGATTTGTAATCTTGATACACAAAAGTGAATAACTTTCTCTTGTACATGGAATTAATCGATTCCCATCCAGCTATTGTTAAAGCTTCTTGGTTTCTAACATCAGATAGCCTATAGATAATCTTGGCTGCCCTGGGGTGGATATGCTCCACTTCATGCAATAATGTAGGTGGGCTGGTACCCCAAACTGAATTGTAGTAAGTGACAGTGGGAATAATACTTGTAAAGTAAATAGACTGTAAGGTATCCTTTGTTAAGTACTTGAGCGTTGACAACTGATTGTCAATAATAATTCCTAAACACTTAGTTTCAGCCACAAAACCTAAGACCTTGTTTCCTAACAAAACAGGCTTTAGTGGTCCACAGAAAGGTTTATGAGTCAAAATCATGGCAGCCGCTTCTGACTTCCCTGTATGTATGGTCAGCTTGTTGTTTCTGTACCACAGGTTAATACTTGTTAAGGCTTTGTTTAACTTATCACTAACTACTTCCACGTTGTCACCGACCGCAGACAAGTTTGTATCGTCTGCATACATGGCCAGTTCACCTTCAGTAACTGCATCAGGGAGATTATTGACGTAATAGGAGAAGAATCTTGGCCCAAGCAAGGAACCTTGTGGCACTCTACAACAGACATTCTTAGTCTGTGAGGTACATCCGTTTACAATGGCAAACTGCTTTCTGTTTGTTAAATAACTAATTATCCAGTTCAGAAGATCTCCAGTTATACCAATGGCTTTTAGTTTGTATCTCAAAATAGTATGAGATACCGTGTCAAAAGCCTCCTGAAAGTCTATATACACAACTCCAACTACCTGTCTGTTATCCACTGCTTGCTTACATGTTTCAGTTAGATGTCTCAAAAGACCCTCGGTTGACCTGCCAGCTCGGAAGCCCCATTGCTTATTACTTAGAAGTCCTGTGTCTGAGATAAATTCGTGCAGGCCTTCGCACACTATTGCCTCCAGGAGCTTGCTGGGAACACTTAACATCTGCCGAGGGCGATAATTTTCCCTGTCTGATCCATCACCCTTCCTATAGATGATATGCATTCTTGATATCTTCCACTGTGTAGATACAGTAGATTCCTCCAGACTGCGCTTAAACACAGTGTACAATCCGTTCATCATTGGTTCACCTAGAAGGTGAAAATCTCGAGGAAATATATGCAGCCAGATGACCTTTTATTTCTATTTCACCCTCTGGGGACAACTGTAAAATGCAGGACCTCAACCGTTTTTGTATCTACTACTGTTAACTTATCTTGGTAAATAAGATAGTAAGATATGACGAGCTCATCAGCACCTTAAGTTAACAAAATGTTCAAAGCCTCGTCTCATCAGGAGTTCAGAAGGCAATCAAGAAAATAGGCCAAGGGAGGGGAGGGCAAAAGCACAAAATATATAGCCGCAGGGACAATGGGGCAGGCTTCGGAGACAAGGCCAATTTCCACACGTTTCGACGCCATGATTGTGCCATTTGGCTGAGCTCTACGTTCCATTATGTTGTTTGAAGATGCTTTTTGCTCACTACAATAATCTGGTACCTTAAACTTTGCGGCCCTTACACTTTCTGTCACAGGAGTTCTGTAGGGGCTAGCCATTTTAATTTCAGACTGCAAAGCATTCAGTAAGTATACTTAGATACATGGTTGCGATGAAAATATAGAAATTAGATTACTTTGCCTTGTCTTGGAAGCAAATTGTTTACCTCTTCGTTGTTTTGTTACTTGAACTGCCGACGTTGAACAGTTGGCAACGCAACTGCTTTTATTGCGCTTGTTTATTTAAAAATTAACGTTACGAAAGCGTCTTTCCACGAGCTCGCTATGCTAACGCAAGTCTGCATTGAGTGGCTAACGGCCAAAATGCCTTTCTCTACCAAAATGTGGCTGGAGAACCTGTAGCGAAAACGATTGATTATCTCTGCTTTAAGAAAGGATTTATTACAGATAGACGGACTATATGCTATGATATCTAAGTTAAGGTACCGTAAACTGCCGCTTATAAGCCCATCCGCTTATAAGCCCCCCCGGTTATAGGCCCACCTACATGCAAACAAAAAAATACATCCGATTATAAGCCCATCCGGATATAGGCCCTCCGCCAATTTTTCTTGTTTTACTAATATTAAGCACTCTCATAGAACACTATTACTTCAACAAATAACTGGAAAAGATTACAGAACAATAACTTTATTACAATTTTATTATTAACAATCTTTATATCTTTATTTCAACATTTCGCCAAATGCTTTGAAGTAACTGTTCATTGTTCTCCTGTAGTGTTAAAGTGCGTTTCACAAACCTTTGACAAACTGTTTCCGAAGTTCGTTTGAAATTCCCGTCGATCAACAGTGCTGTTGCTCATTTCGAAAAGTTTTTTTTCGTCCGCTTATAAGCCCATCCGGATATAAACCCCTCCGTTTATAAGCCCACCCAAAACCCCTTACGAACTTGTATAGGCCCAGGGCTTATGAGCGGCAGTTTACGGTAAAAATTGTACGATTTGAGAAAGAGGATTGATTTGAACTATGTGGCACTTGGCGTTGTTATGGCATGCAAGAATGAAGGGCGGACATTGGAGTTAGAGCGGAAAGAAAAATGGTGTGTGGATGAGGTGAAGAGGTTAAAAGCAATTGTAGTAACTGTTGTTGGGACTAAGACAAGATTATCAGCAGTGGAAAACAAGCAATGGAGGAGTCTTAGAGGTAAAGATTATTTATCGAAGCAAGGAATGAAGAGGCAGGTGAGAGGCAGCCTGGTGATTGTGTCTGAGATAAGAGAGACTTTGAGGCTTTTCACGAGGCTTGTGACGGAACGGGATATGTTGCACGATAAGGACTATATAGGAAAAGTAACCAAGGCAAAGGAGGACGAAGATTGTATGGTGTACTAGAGGGAGTGTCAGAGGGACTCGACTAATCTACATAATTTCACATCAAGAGAGGTTTCTTTGGAAGAACGCGAGATACCAAATTGCGGGGATGGCCTTGTACCTAGACGATATGGTATTACTGGTGCAAGACAGAGACAACGAGAGGTGCAGCAACAAACAGAACTTCCTTTATTGCAATATTTGGACCATTTCGCAGGCAACAAAAGACCAACAAAGACTAAGTTAAGGACAAATGTAAAATGAAAGGTGGTTTTGATATTGGGGGGGATAGGACGATACTTTTTCCATCCTAGAGTGGGATACTTAGAAAAAAGGGTTATGAATAAAGCCTTTAAATTAGTAGATTACTTCAAGGTACGTGCTGTAGAAAGCAGGAATTTATCTGAAACGAGTGAAAAAAGTCTTAAGGGTTTAAATTTACTAACTGAATTGTCTAGGGATGACAACTGTGTTACAAGAGAGCGATTAAAAACTGGGTTGGTCTTTAAATACAAGTTTATGGTACAAGCAGAAGTATTATAGACACAACTGATTTTTATCAAAGGTTTGGAACTGTAGAGGATGTAAATTTAGTCAAGGAAAAATGCAGGCTTTCTTTATCCTTAATACTTGGAGAATTCAGGCGGCCTTTAACCAGAGAAGATTTTCTTAGCTTTCATTTAGGGGCTAATCTGGATGATTATATATTTCCCAGTATATTGCCAACTTTACATGCGTACGGGGACGACACTCAATTGTATTTGTCATGTAGTTCTAACGTTAGCACGTGCCAATATAGCCATTGAAAGCTGCATTCGAGACATCCGCCAGTGGATGTGCGTGAAGAAATTATTGCTGAAAGATGACAAGACTGAGTTCTTGCTTGTTGGGTCGTGCAAGCAGCTAGTGAAAGTGTCAGTAGATGGTGTTAGAGTCGGTGACTATAACATAAGTCCTTCGCCATCACTCCATAACTTGCGCTCGTGGCTAGACTCTTATTTGAGTATGGATGTAAACATTATCAAGACATGCGCGTGCAGCAGTGCATTTTAATATCTCTATAATATCAGACGTATTAGAAAATACTTATCCAGAGGCAGCACTGAGTCTCTAGTTCATGCCTTTGTTACTAGCACAGTAGACTACTGTTGTAATAGCCTAATGTTTGTTTTTACCTAAATATCAGCTAAGTTGCAGCGTGCTCTAAATGCTAGTGCTCGCTTAATTTATTGCGCACCAAAGCCGTGCCATATCACGCTTCTGCTTCTCGAGCTTCATTGGTTACCTGTTTGCTACCGTATTGAATACAAAATATTACTCCTTACATTTAACGTTTTGCCCGATATGGCACCTGATTATTTGCGCCAGTTAATATCTATCCTGCCTCCGTCTTAGTAAGATTTAAGGCGCACTCATGACTGGTATTTTATTAGCAACACCAAGAGTCAGAACTAAGATCACCTTAGGGGATAGGTCATTTAGTTATGCCGCCCCCAGACTTTGGAACCTTCTTCCATCTACGATGAGGTCTATTTTCAGACTAAATCTGTTTAAAAATAGACTTTAAACTTTCTTATTTAGTAAGGCTTTTAATTAGGAATTTTTAGCATTATAAATATAGCCTTTATTTTCCATCTTTAATTAATTTCTTACATGTAAGGCGCAGTTGAATATTTTCATAGAAACTGCGCGGTACAAATTTCTATTAATAATAACATTATTTTTATTATAAACCTTAAGGTGGCTCGACTGGATTTTTTGGGGTTGATACCTCCCAACTTTGAGCATTAACTACGTCGGCATGAGTAAAGATATGGAAAAAATGTTACCACAACTGTATTACATAAAGATGAAAATTTCTTATGATCTGGGTTTTATTGCAATCGGAGTCGCCATGGCAACGTAATGACGCCATTACGTTTTTCATTTATCTTTGTGTTTCTCTGTTCTAGGAGTTTTTTGATGAAATGGCTTAATGGAGTATGTACCTGCTATAATTGCCTACATTATGGCGTAGTTTGAACAAATTCTATGAGAGCGTTTTCGAAATATTTTGAAATGTAGTTTTAAGAATGATAAAAACAGGAAGGGTACAGTAGGGGTACAGGAGGGGTACACTGTACCCCTCCTGTACCCCTCCTGTACCCTACTGTACCCTTCCTGTACCCCTACTGTACCCCTCCTGTACCCCTCCTGTACCCCTCCTGTACCCTTCCTGTACCCCTTCTGTACCCCTACTGTACCAAAACAAAAATGAGGAGGAGGAGGAGGAGGAGGAGGAGGGAACAAAAATGGGGAGGAGGAGGAGGAGGAGGAGGGAAAACAAAAATGAGGAGGAGGAGGAGGGAACAAAAATGAGGAGGAGGAGGAGGAGGAGGAGGGAAAACAAAAATGAGGAGGAGGAGGAGGAGGAGGGAAACAATAAAAAAATGAGGAGGAGGAGGAGGAGGGAAAACAATAAAAATGAGGAGGAGGAGGGAAAACAAAAATGAGGAGGAGGAGGAGGAAGAGGAGGGAAAACAATAAAAATGAGGAGGAGGAGGAGGAGGAGGAGGAGGGAAAGCAAAAATGAGGAGGAGGAGGAGGGAAAGCAATAAAAATGAGGAGGAGGAGGAGGAGGAAAAACAATAAAAATGAGGAGGAGGAGGAGGAGGGAAAACAAAAATGAGGAGGAAGAGGAGAAGGAGGGAAAACAATAAAGTTGTGGAGAAGGGAAAAAGAAAAAATTGAGGAGGGAAATAAAATTGAAAAGGGAGAGGGGTAAGTAAAACATGACTTGCTTTCTTTGACTGTTTTAATAGATTTCTTTCATATCGCTGTGTGTTTGACTCTTTTTTGTTTTAAACGGTATCTCGGGTCAGATTTTATTGCTAGCAATTATTAGTCGCGTGTTTTAATTGATCCTTGTTAGTTATTTGTTTTATAATAAGACGTCAAGGTGCTCCCTTGGGTCTTTCCTGTAGAGCAAATTTGTATTCAACTTTGGGCTTGTGAACTCGCATAATTAACTGACTAACAGTGCGTGAAATTACAAGACTTTAATAGTTTTTCATTTCCTCGAGATAGAACGGAGAAAACGTCAGACAAAATTGAAATAGAGTTTTCAGTTCTACTTTGTGTATTTTGTTTATATGTATCCGAGTTTTAGAGCTCGATAAGAAGACATAAACTAAACGGAAATAAAGACTTTTCAACTCCACTTTGTGCACATGTGTTTTGTTTATATATCTGAGTTTTAGCGCTAAATAAAATATAGGAAGCCGTTTCTCGCGTTGCTAGGTGATCGCTTCTCTTATTCCTATTTTCCTTTTAATAGACTGTCCGAAAACCGAGCTCAAGTTACTTCACGGGCAAGTCTAGGCAAGCCTATTGTTCCTATTGTAGTAGAGTGACGCTCATTAGTAAACCTAATCCAAATTAGTATGCAGGAAGACACTTAATTAGTATGCAGGAAATCCAAATTAGTATGCAGGAAGACACATACATATTAATAAAGGGAATCCACTTTTTCCCCAGGTTATAACAATCGGTGACGTCATAGACTAGACCTAGCTAGACCGTGCTAGACACTAACGAGGCTTATCTTTGCTGAAGCCCTACTACTAACAGTCTCCTTAAAGAACGCTATAGTTACATATTTAAACTCCAAATCTGAACAGCGGTCTCATAAAAACGACTACCGCTTTCGTAAATTCTTTAACTTCCGATGATAATAAACGCTACTTAACGTTTTTATTCAATCTTATTCATTGATATATTTTCTGATTAGCATGACTGTTTTGCCATCGAATCGATTCGCCAGAAACTACATTAATTGGGAAGTTTTAATTTAGTGAGCACGAAAAAAATGCTTCTTGTTGCATGAATATTTTCTTCTCTGTAGCGATGACAAAGACATTCCAACACTTAAAACAATGCAAACCTATTCCTTTTCTTTCTGTATTCTCTCTTGAAAGTGTGACAATTGCTGCTCGCTGTAAATTTCATAAGAGTCTGAAAACGGCGGTAGCCTTTGAAACCTCGTTTTCCCTCGCAAACCTAATGAACACCCCAGTTTTGACGGGCGACGTTTTTCAGTGTAATGCGGATAGAAGGTGTTGGATGATCCAAACTCATGCAGGCGAAGTTAACTTAGGCAGATGTCGAACTTTTCATGAACTTACCTCACTAAATTTGGCTCGTCTTACGAAAAGTTCGACGTTTGGACTAGGCCTAAGACTGTTAAAAGAAGACCCAAACGAAACATTGTTTAAGATTTTCCTCGCTTCCTTTAATTCATTCTTCCCATTTCTTTCCTTTCTTATAAAAAAAGTACAAAATCAATAATACTTTCTAGGACCTATAAGTTTCTTGTGCAAATAGCTGCGAATCATTGTCATGAAATGCAGCCGTAATGTGTTTATAAAATAACACTTGAAGAAAGGCGTCGTTTACTCACAATCTCTGCAGCGAAACGAGATTTGAAAAAAGCCCTGCCGGGAGCTTGTTGAGTTCGTTGCCGTCCAAATCCCTGCGGGAGAGCAGTTACATTAATTTGTGTCAAATAAACAGAAAAACCCATTTTCAGACGCAGGTTTGTACACCCTATTCATATTTTATCATTTCCATTAAAAAAAATATTAGAATATTCAGGAAAATACGTTTGTCATCATTGATTAGCAGAGGTTCATTAAATGGACACGCCCTCTCGTCATATGCCATGAGTTTGCTTCGGTCGAGATGCGGTATGGCCCACAGAAGAGGTACTGGTGCACATGGTCTCGAGCAAGGTATAAACCATTTGATAATGGAAATGGAAATCTCGTTCCTCGTACAATGCTCAATATAATGTAAGGACAATACGAACATTTAGTGAACGCGAGGATTGTTCCTCTATTGTTCTTATCCATTTAGCTCAAATGCAAAAACAGCACTGAAAATTACTTTAATTTGAATACGGTAAAGACTATTAAGGTGCAAAGGAGAACGCCTAGAAAATTTGGTAACAAATCTCTACCTATTACATAACTACTAAAAATACTTAAAAATAAAAAAGGGACAATAACAGCAAATTTTAGGGATTAAGTAATCATTTGACAGAGACCGATAGGTCCGTTTGCAAATTGCTTGCAGATTTAGCTGATTTCAAGTTCTGGTTGAGCTTGGTTTAGAGAGTTCTTCACTTGTGCTTCCCAGTGTGGGAAATCGAGCATTCCGTTTATGGAACACAAGTTATTTCAGTATTGAAGTTACTTCATCTAAGGTGAGATTTTGCAGGGTTTGATTTCGCTGCTCAATATCGAAACGAGTTCCCACAGTTATTGACCACGTTTTTGGCTATAATACTCGCATAAGAAGGCAAAGCCTTATCTTAGGTTATCTTCTGATCTCGTTTCATAGCCCAAGGAGGAAACTATGCATGGTGCTCTCGATCTGTCCTGCAATTGTTTTAAGTAATGTTTAAAACACGTGCTGTGAGAGTTTTGAACAGCTTCAAAAACGTCCCCTGAGTATTTGATTTCAATAGGATTGGTAAAAGATGCATTTCTCTTTTTAAAACGTTAACGACGACGGCAACGGTAGCGAAATCGTCATCCAAAATGTGAATTCGCGCTGTTTCAAACTTCATCGCTCCTATTCCAACTCTTTTAATTTGTCGAATGTCGGCGAATTTTTCAGGAGTTGAATTCTAAAGGACTACTTCTAAGTTCACAAAAAGAAAAAGAAAACCTCCTTAAAACGTGAAATAGGCATTTTCACGTCGTAGTCGTGCAGTGGCGGCAAAGAAATGTACAAAAAAGTGTGCTGCAAGTGCAAAGTTGTCGTTTTGCTGAATAAATCCATTGCTTATTTGCCGTTCTCGTTGCCGTCGCCGTCGTCGTTGCCTGCGCTCTGTAATATTGCGTGTGAGACGGTATCAAAGGCTTCAGTGAAATCTAAAATTACACCTGAAGTAGTCACGCCTAATCAATGTTAACCCTCGGACGTACAAGGAAAGTCATACCCCCATCGTGGTACAAGGAAGGTTGAAGGAACCCCTCCCCTAAATGTGCATGTACACGACGCCAACTGTCAACGTATTCACAGGACGAATACCATTCTTTGATCAACTTTAGGGGCTTTTCATTACGACTGCATCTTTTTTCGAGGGCCCAGTCATTTGTTATAAACATTGCTTAGAATGTACAGTCGATCCTCGATTATCCGGATTTCTCGATTATCCAGACTTTTTCTCTGGTCCTAATTTGCTCATGAACATTTATAAGTCACAATCAAGATCCGTAGCCATATCCTTTTTTAAACTACAGCACTGAAAAGTGGAGTGAAATGCGAGGTTTTGTGTTTGCTTTCAAACAGCAAAAGCAGCGCTTGCACGCGTCGTAACTAATGAAGAACATTCGATGAGTTCTGAAATTATTATCAGATATTACATCTGATTGCTACAACAGAATGACACAAAAATGTCGGTGCTCACATCTTTGAATTGCAGGCAGCCGTTTGTAAGTCACGCAATCCAATTTAGAGGGGTGGAGAAAGGTGAAATAACAAACGGCCACAACGAGAACAATAGCAATAAATAAGGCTAAATTCACGCTATATCGGCTAGCTTTTCGGGCAGACACAAAAAGCTATTCCCTATGTGACTTTCCTGTTTAGAGATCGGCGCGTCGCATCTTTGCGCCGAAATCACCGTTCTTATGCGTGAACAGAAGCCCTATCAGGTATGCCCGGGAGGCGTACTCCCAAAAATGACCTATACAAGGAAGGGCTCCGCCCTAAAGGAGTAACTTCTTCAGGCTTCAGGTGTATGAAAGGGTAGGGATTTTACTCGTTGATGTTCACGAAAGGGTAGGGAAATCTGTCGTTTGGGTCCGGTTGTGAAAGGACCCAACAATGAAAAGGGCTAACAGAAGAATTTTATGGCTTTGTAAAGTCGAGAAAACGTTTTTTTTTTGTGATTGATTCTCACTTAAATGAAAGTGCATTTACATCCCGGTTAAAAGGGATGCAAAGTTATTAAACAGGTATGTGAAAGGGGTACGATGTGTCAATAGAAGGTATACGAAAGGGGTACTGTTTTTCGTGAAAAATGGTATATAAATGGGTATTAAAGGGGTTGGACCTCGGGGCGGAGCCTTCCTGTATAGAAGTTTGTTGAGTACTCCCCGGGCTGGTATGCTTTTTATGCCTGCACAAAAGCTCTCCGTTATAAAGTGAGTCTATAGCTTAAGTAGTCATACCCTTAGATACGGTTTTTCCTTGTTAAAATCGAAATAATGATCATTTGTTTATTTACAACTTTGTTTGTCGGGATCGCGGACCGGGTGATTTTACTATACGGTATCAGGACCACTATCAGTGATTCAGGGAATGAATACACCTTAGAACTGAAAACGAAGGAAACCGAAAGAAGGAAGCATATTCTTTTGTCCTGTTTCTGTTTCGTTTAATTTGTTTTTATATGTTTTTTTTTTCACACCAAGGTAGCCCAAACATCGCATTTTCGGTATAAAAGACCGACTGATGCAATGATACAAAACGCCCCTGAAAAGTAAAATCAAATCAAATTAATTATTGCTTTTCTTTTTTCCGTGGGTAAGTAGAAATGCTAAAAGAACGTCGAAACACCCATTTTTCGTTATATTTTAAGTCTGGGTGACCTGTAGTTTCTAGCCTGCGTAGCTGGCAGTATTGTGTAGCAGTCGAGTGTGTTTTGGCGGCAAAGCCGCGGGAAATAGAAATACCACCTGCCAGAGAACTATGATTTTTCGAATGCCGCCCACTTTTATGACCTCAACTTAGCGGACCTCTTAGGCGATAGACGTTCATTTCAAAGAGTTCAAAAGGTCACGGTTTGTAATTTGTGATTGGTGGATTTCTATCCGTTTTTATTTCAAGGTTCTTTGCTTGTGCGCGTCCTGTTTCGGGCAATTATCCACTTGTTTGCTGCGGTTTTTCTGATCTTTCTTAATACGAAATATTTTCCTCGGCCTCTCTTTTAACAATAATCAAAGTCTGCCTCCTTCCCTTCATAAAAATACCATCACGATTTCCTTCGCTATTGAGCAGTCAAGAGTTATCCTCAGTTTTGCCGAACACTACGTCCGAACACTACGTCCAACACGCACCTTCTTCACAGCCGTTTCCTGCTCCCTCTTAAGAATAATTTTCTACCTCTCTCTGCTCATATTAAGACGTTTTAGAGCTTTATCGATACTTCATTCAGCCGAGTCCACCATTATTTTCCCAACAGTTTGCCATTTCTTTCCTAGGGAAATATGAGAAGGATCATCTAACATGATTGACGTATGTATGGCCCTCGACCAATCCGTTTTCTCCGCACACTGTTGTGCGGTGTATTCAAAATACCGCGGTTTTCTAGCAGGCGGTAGTTCAATCGCCTCCTCCCCACTCCCTTTTTCAGATCACGGCTCTGCCGCCAAAACTTTAGTCGCACACCGAGACAATACCGCCAGCTACGCAGGCTATGTGGGATATCTAAATTTAAGAATCACGATTTGAAGTTATCACTTAATTTTTAAATAAAATTGCTATAAAATTCATCGGAATTTATACATGTAGTTGTGGTTGTGGCTATGGCTATTCAGCGTATGAAAAAATCGCGAAAGTTACATGTAATTTGGGGCTTCCTAAGTAAACAAACCCTGATCGTTCTAAATACTTCGCGCCTTTTGTTTGCTTAGAGGTTGAACATGATCATTTTTTTTAAAAGTCAAGTTTATTACACTGAAAATGGAGAGTTGCTATTCTGTCAAAGCCCTTGTTGGTGGAATTTGCGGTTATGATCCTTAAGACCGTAAGTGCCACTCTGAAATAGTTCCCTATTGTCTTGCGATGAGGAAATCAACCGTCACAAGTCTCTATGATTAAAAAAGACCAAACTCTATTTTTTGTCGTAGTGCGAACAGGTTCAGTTTTTTGTTGATGTTTATTATATTGTAACTAACAACAACGCGGAGTGCCAGGGTGGCTAAGGTGACTCGACCCAGTTATTTTGTGACGGTACCATCCTACTTTAAAGCTCTCTAGTGTCTCCAGCTTTACTTTGATCGTAAGTCTAACATATAGTAAGGATAACATATAGATCAATCTACAATAAAGCATAAAATTTGTGGCAATCGGAGTGAATGTCACGTGGTTACAGTGTCACGCCTCTTTGGGACCTGAGTCGAAATTCTGCTGTTGCCGGCATTTTTTAGTGAAAATCTCTCGGATAGATATAAGGCGCATTAATGCTTTGCACTGAACAGAGTTTCACCAATGCGAGAAATTCAGCGGTTTGCAAAATTAAATCATAATTTGTGTGGAAATGATAACCAAACTTTACGCGATTATATATAATAAACTATGAGTTTTATCCTTTTATTTTGGGGATCTTTATAACAGATGGGTCCTTGCAAGTCAAAAAAAGCTTTAGGGCCTTGTAAATGCGCGCAATTTCGAGCAATGCAAACGTATATAAATTATAGTATAAGCTATTTGTTGACGTTTGTCAGCGTTTAAGTGTCCTTCTCGAGAAAAAAAGTATTTTCTTAAAAATTCGTAGTTTTTTTTCCCTCAAATTTTTTCAGGGCCACAATTGATTAACTAACTACTCGTATTCTGAATTTCATGGTCGTTGAAAAACTGTGACAGTGTCTTCTAGAAGCCCAAACTTGAGTAAACATTGAAGGTTTCTAGCGTTTTGGCTGAGTTTGTGCTTTGGGAGTTTTCTAATGTTTCTAGTCTGTCATGACAGCATTCTTGTTCAGTACGTGTGCAATGACCGCGCTTGGCTGACTTCCGAATGCTCACCGAGAAAAGTTCGCTGTTCGCAGTCCTTACAAGCGCTATCGCGCCCATATTGCCACTGTATACTATATCTCTAGGCCCCCTCTATCACAAAATCCTCCGTCCGCCCCTGTTGAAGTACAAACTAGGCTTTAGCAAAAATGAAGCAAGCAGGTAAGAAGAAAAAGGCCATTTGCATGATGACCTCATTTTACTACCAGAACCTTAGGAGTTTTGCTTTCTCGTACAAATTTAAGGGCTTTTGAACTCGCTGGGATTACAAAATTAAAAAAGATATATACTAGAAATACTTGTATCGCAGAATTTCGCGAAACTTGGGAGCAAAGTATCTGGGATGGAAGGGGGGAGAGAATTAAAGCAAATTGTGTCGGCTGGGGAGGGCGGGTTTGAACACTGGCTCTGCATTTGCTTAAAAGCTAACCCGAGCCATCTTTGAACGAAACGGATTTAGGTCGTAGTAGTAAAATAACGCCATCGTGCAAATGCGTAGTATTCGCTAATAAATCGGCTTTAAAAAAATTATTTAGTGTACTACGTGTACTTTCAATCACCACCACTCCTCCCCCGCTAAAATGCACATGACACTATTGCGTGACGAACAGCGCCGACATTATTGTGCCATTTTAGCAGCGGTCAAATGTATTTAAAAATATTTCTTGCAGTGAAAAGCACTGTTCAACATATGCCTAAGCCGTCTAAGAAGATGCAGTGGCGATAAAATTCGCCTAAAACTGATGAAAGATTGGTATTCGACCGTTGAAGACGTCGAAGGTTGACGCTGTGTGTCAAGCCCCGTGCAAACGGGTGCAACATTGTTGGCCAACAACTCCCAACATTTCTTTTGTTCCGTGATCGCCGAAGCGTAGCGCAACAATGTTGGATCCGTTAGCACATGCTCCTCCAACATTGCTGGGGCCACGCACGCTCATTATGCATGGTTTACAAAGACTTATGGGTTGTATCCTTCCCACGATGCACTGCAGGTCCCAACATTGCTGGGAGTTGTTGCATCCGTTTGCACACCGCTGCCAACACGTACGCAGCAATTCCCAACATTGTTGGGAGTTGTTGCGTTCGTTTGCACGCAGCCTCAGGCGTGAGGTGTAAACACTGCAGACGTTACAAACCAGAGGTCAAGCGAGGAACATCCGAAAATCGTGCTTAAATGTTCTTTGGACCGGTCCTTTACTGCTCATAAGGTAAGAACATTTCAGAAAGGTTGTTTATCTGCTTATTTTAACCTAGTGTGGGTTTAGAAAAGTGCAGGGACTAAATTTTAATTTATGTCCGACTCGCAACTTCAAAGATGACCGCGGAAGGTCAAATATCTGCATTTTTTTTACAGATTTTGTAAAGCTCTCACGTCGCTATTAATCATTTGCCCAAAGACATTTTTTCAGGAATATGTAGACCATCCTTCTAACGTTCAACCACCATCACCTTAATCGATTTAAAGATTTTGCATATGGTGAAAATTGTGTTTTTTCACGCATTATTTTTACTGAAGTAAATTGTATACGTTCGAAATTAAATTATTTCAGTGCCGGATCCAGACCGGGGGGCCCGGTCATCTAGACCTTTAGATAAGGCGGGGGGCGGTCTCCAAAAACATTTTCTGCGCTTCTGGCCTCAGTTTGGTCTAAAAATAAGAGGGGGCCCCTCGCCTGGATCCGTCACTGTATTTTGTATACAAAGAACAGAGCAGTTCTCCCCAAATCATTTTAACAGATATTTGGAAGCTGTAAAAGAAGGTTGTGCTGTTTTAAAGACGGCAACGTAATCGGTTTTTGAACGTGAGGCTTTCAAAACCATGTCATAATTGAGCGCCTCAAATGACCATTTTAAAGGATTTTAGTTATTTGCATTTATCTCTCAACAAAAGGATATTTTAGTATACCGAAAAAAACTGTAAAGTGATTTTTATAGTTGGACCCTAGCTTATCTAGCATTAAAAATTGAAAGAAATCGAGTTATCCACCTTTACTGCGAAATTTTGAATTTGTCTGATTTTTACAGACAGGGGCTCACCCCTTAACATGTAAAATAACACATAAGTACTTTGCATCATTTTATTCACAACTTGTACTTTTATTGCTGAAAGAAGTTAAAAAACATGCATTTTCACTAAAAAATGGCTTGACCACCAGCTGCCCCTTGTACGTCCGAGGGTTAAGATACCATTCATTTGTTACATCTATCAAAGTTCTTAATGTGAAGTGAAGGGAAAAAAACAGACTGGTTTTTTGATAAAAGATCATGTTCCTTTACATGGGCATAAAGATGATCGTAGTCGATCCTTTCACATACTTTTGACGGAGCAGATGAGACCGAGTTTGACCTGTAATTCTGCGGGTCTGTATGATAATTTACCTTCAATACAGGAGAAATGTTTGGTCTTTTTCCATTTTATAGGAAAAACGTCAATATTCGAACTTTTATTGATGATAGCTGACAAGGAAGCGGAAATGAATGTCATGCTACTTCTCTATGAAACATGCAGGAAATATTATGAAGTCCTGGGGCCTTATGTGGAGATAACTTATTTAGGATTTTTAAAACTTCCACTGCCGTATTATGTTGCTGGAGTTATGCATATCCATTTGGTAACGCCTAAGCAAGGGTAGGACCGATAGAAGCAAAATAATTGGTTAGGATTTCGCAAATGTCGAAGGGTTCAGTAACCGGTCTATTGTTCACTTTCAGTTCATGAATGGCACTGCTCTACTATTCAGTCAATTTACAGCCCGTGCTCTGGTAAATTGATTTTCCAAATTTCGTTTGGATTACCGATGTTGTTTTCAACTTCATATTTTTAAAAATCGGGATTTCCTTTTTAGGTCACATTGTTTCCCTTCTTTTGAAACGTTTCCCCTTTTCGCTGGTCTTTACTTGTCACCGCTGATTTCTTTCACCTGTCACGGTTAGTTATTAAATTTCTTTCCTGGGATAAATGGAAGCTTGCGATCGGGTGAAAACTGATAACTGATGATCAGCAAAGGTCATAAAAGAAACTGTGTCCGCTCCATTAGTTAAGCTAGGAGCCAGCCATACGGTCGAATGATAGTGGTCAGTGGACACCCTATTTTGACTGCTGTCATTTGACCATAACATGGATATTCTTGCATACCTTAGATTCCTATAATCCTGGACAAACTTGGGACAGTGAAGTAGTATTCGCAATTTTCTCTCATTTCTGGATGTCCTTATAAAACAGTGCAACCTTTTGAAAATAACTTTCAGTTCGCCCTCCTCACCAATTATCAGTGTTTGGCATGAATCAAGATAAAAACCTGGCATGGAGGTTGAAGATGCTAAAAGACTGGTACGTGATGCAATTGCTGCAAGAATATTTAATGACATGGTATCATTGGAACGTAAAAGTTCCAATGATACCAGTTCTCCCTTCCCACCACCCTATGCAAAGTTGAAAGTCGAGAAAAATTATGTTGTTTATGGGTGGGGGGGGGAGGGGTTGGGCATGTATGATTATGAGGAAAGCCCCACAAGTGCAAGTGTGACCAAAGACTCTTGGCCATGATTCTAGGTAATAGGAGTGACATTTTACGTCTACTTACACCAAGGTGCGGACGTACCGACGGACGGGCGATTATTTCATAACCAAAATTTCTTGAATGCATAGATCAGTACCCACTGAGGGCTATGAAATATGAATCACACATCATTCTTTACCGTAGCAACCATTATGCCAAATTTGAAAACTTTCCGTATTTTTTTTGCAAATTACGCTGTTTTAATTAATTCTACTCAACTGATTGAGTAAAGTCGTTCTTTTCTTGCATCGTGAAATATCTTTTTACTTTTGAAATTAATTAACTTAACCAGGGTTAGAGCTTTCTACAAGTTGCTCGGAAACATTTTGGAAACTTGTTGTATTTCGAGCAACTTTTTTTTTTATAGAGCAAATTTTTGCATTTTGAGCAATTTCTCTAGTTATCTTCTAATTCTGAGATATCGGAGCAGTTGTTAGTGCTTAGTCCATATTTCACAATGTTTTAGTAGACAATTTATGAATTTCCTGTAAAAAAGGAGCCAAATCCTTCCCTCCCCTGGGCAAGATGGTGGGCGCCAGATAAAAGTAGTCAGGCTGCTAGGTCAGCGGTTTTTAGAGAAAATTCAAAATGGTGGACGAAGATTCTCCTGATTCTCACTCGACTAACTTGAGTATCTCGGGTGAAGAAGGTCATTGAACAATTTTATTGTCTCATTACATTTCTTGGTTTTAATTGAGGACAAAGTTATTTAGCAATGCTGGTTACACCCCAAAATTGCACAAAAATGCTTAGAAATCTTATTTTTGTTGTACAATTTGCATATTTTAGCACCAGACCAAAAAAGGTTTTGTTTTTCGAGCAACTTTTGAGCAGCTTTCGTTATAAAAAGCAACTTTTGAGCATTTTGTAAAGAAATTAAAGGAAACTTTTTTTGGAAAATCTCGAGCAACTTGTGGAAAGCCTTAACCAGACCCATAGAGCAACAATAGAGTTGAAAAATTAAAATGCGATCGTTTTTAGTGAATGACACAACTTGTGGGTAAATATTCTATATGTTTCCTATTGTATCACGCTTGTTTGCTCACTGAACGAAAAGCTTTCCTTTCGATGGAGATACCGCAAATTCAGATTTAGAATCCTTTTTATTTCTTAATGAAACTGATAGGTGAGTTGCTTTGCAAAAAAAACCTTGCTCCTCTCATAGGCGAAAATGTTTTTACAGGCTTTTCCCATTTACATACTCTTATCATTCTCTGATCAAGCTATTGAAAAACAGTTGTTAATATTTAAAGGGCACAACATTACTAATTGCCTTCTTTTTTATAATCAAACGAAAGCCCAAATTTTACTATTTTTGTGCCCTTGCCAGAGCGAATAATTGTACTAATATGTTGCCAAATGTGTTAGAAAATCACAAGAAGCTAAAAAGATACACACACACTAAGGTTATTCTCGTCTCCCCAATTTCCCAGCGACCATGAGAGGTCTTCAGATCCTTTTAAGAGATTCTCATGAAATAACAGTCAAGACAAAGAAATGCGCGATTTACTTACAAGTGGTATAACGATGACAGATTTGAAAATATCCCAGGCAGAAGCTCATTGATCTTGTTGTCCCACAAAATCCTACAGGAAATAAATGCATTCCTCGACTTAAATTTGTGAATAATTTACGAATGGCAGCGAATGGGCAGTACGACTCATCACACTACCAACATTCGACCAAATGTTTAAAAACCTATTTGTACTTCACTGTAAAATTAAGGGCAAACCAGGCTTTACACAAGTTAGATTTGAAAGTCATTCCTCCTTTATTCTCTACAGAATTGAACATAAATATGGGTTTAATTAAACTTATATTAGCTAATCAACTGAGACAAAGCTGGAAATTGACTAGATGCGTTTGCTTAAAAAGATGCTAACATGGGGATTCATCCTTATCTGATCTACACAGATAAGGTACGGTAAAACGTGCAGCTTGTTTTGCAACATTAAATGCTGCAAAAATAGCGAGTTCAATGGCGATGTTGCGCGTTATTCAGCGAAAGTAGTGAGTAGTGAGTATTGAGTAGCTCTATGTTATGCAATGCAGTCTGTACGTGTTACGCTTTTTACCGACTCAGGGCAAACTTCTTTTGCAGTGAGTGACGTAACTCCCGCTTATGGCGTGATTCCCGCTTAATTTGATGCAATCAGAAGTCAGTATTCACGCAATTTCTAACAACCTGATTGTTGCAACACGGGCTTGAACGTGGGTGATAAGTATGTGTAATCAAATGGTGACGAGTGAAATTAGGGAATAATTTCACGCGCGTTTTGTCGAAATCGTTATAATTTCCCGAGCCTTTAGGCGAGGGAAATTATTAGGATTTGGACAAAACGCAAGTAAAATCATTCCCTAATTTCACGAGTATACCATTTGATTACCTATTAATATCATGGGTGACGAATTACGTTAGCAATCTTGGATTTTTGACATGTTTATCCTGGATCGTATCGATCGAGAACTCCTGCACTCTCGAACGTTTAGAGCTTAAATTTGGCTTAAGTTCAGAGTTTTTCGACAAAATACCTGTTAGAATCCTTCTTGATGTTCTCTTTCGTGTGTTCAGGTTTTCTAAAGCGTCTTTTTATGCCCTGACATCTTCCTTCATGACATTTTAAAACTTCGTCGCCATCTTGACACTGAGACTCACGTTGCCATGGCAATTTAGTAATTTCACATGTGAAATTACAAATTAACGCTGAAATTTCGCGCCAAAATTAAGGAGTAATTCGTCACCTATGATATTAAAAGCGAAACATCACTTGCCTTCTCCTTTTGCAGCATATTGTTGCAAAACATGGCGCACGTTTTTGCTGCAAGGGACATCTTCTTTTGCATGACTTTGCAAGCAGCAACAACTGAATTTTTGGTTTAGAAAACGTTTAACTTTACTGAAGAAAGCTCTTATGTGGCTTTCCACACGACCTGAAGTAGGAGATGTTCACTATATGCTGGAGAAGTTATTGCTGACCTAATAAAACTGGGCGTGAAAGATTTCAAAGAATCTTTTCCTTCTTTATTATAAAATAGAAGAAATGTTACTGAGGCAGTAAGTAACTCAACGATTTTTTGACTTAGAGTTTCAAGATGAAAGTGATTGTCGGCCTCAAATAGTTTAAAACCTGGGTCTAAATGGGTTTACTAATGGAAAATGATTTATTGGCTACAATATCGGAACAGATTATGAAGCCGGAATCGAAGTTTGGCACACAAAAGAAATTATTGTCGTTAAAATTTCAAAGTTTAAATATTGTGTTAATAGATCACGTGATATGTCATATGACCATTTTTCTAAAAATCTTAAAATTGACAAAACTGGTGGTGGGTTTAAAAAGTCAATCATTATCATTTTTTCATTCATATTAATAAATTTCTATCACTTCAGGTTTGGAATGACAGTGCATTGCACTTAAATAAAAAAAAAACTGAGCAAAAACATCATTTTAAATGCCCAAATTTAATTTTGAATTACTAAGAACTTTTATTTTGAACTTTTGTTGCATTCATTCCAAACGTAGAAAGAAATATATACGTACTCGTTATCTCAAACGCCAATTGATTTATCCAAACAAAGTAAATTCGTTACTAATTCGCTATTTTATTCATTTTCAATGTCACGTGACCATTTTCTCTTATAACATTTTGGAAGCAGAATACCTCAAGATTTACCATCTGACGGCCGCGCCCTGCTATCTGAACACCTGGAAGAGGCTACTTAAATAAGTTTAAGCTTTAAAAAGTCCTTAAGGCGTTTAAAACCGGAAGATATTGTTGGTAGGTTAAGGACACTTTTGAGCACGCAACCTCGCACGTTAAAAAAATAATTTTCTTTGACTGCTAAGGCAAAATCTTTAGACGTTAATGCATACCTTACGCGCTTTGGTCTGTCCGTTGAACAAATAAGAAAAAGTGTTTAACTAGAGATTCGTGCAAAAACTGTCCGTAGCTAATTTATAGACCTATAAATTAAAGTTAATGTGATAACCATAGACCCGCCTTAAATCCCTATGGAAGGGAATAAACCAGTTCACCTCCGGTCATGGGTCACTTTCTGCACGTAATATTCTCCTGTCGAGTGATCGGGCTCAGCGAATCATGTAAGCTGTCACATGCACACTGAAGAACGGAGTGACATTCATAATTTCGTGCTTAGCGAGGCAGAAAACATTTCTCTATTATTGCGCTTTCCTTGAGAACTACTGTTAAATTCCCCCTCCCTCCCTCCCTCTCTGCTGTTTTATTTCTCTTCACTGGAGCTGCCTTTGTTCAGTGTTAATGTTTTCTAGTTAACTATTTGATGGGCTCTAAGTAACACAAGACTCTGTATTATTTCTCTAGGTGACTTTTGTATTCCTAGGAACATTCGTACACATATCCTACCAGTCTTGTAGTATTTGTTGTAGGCTCGGAAATCTTAACAAATCTTACATTGAGACTTTCTTCAAACAGTATTATATCAATAGTTTCTGTTTACCTATATCAAGGTTTTTGTAGTGGAATAAACAAATGAATCTGGGATTAAGTGCTCCCATACAGGTCACCCTTTCCCCCAATAGACTGGACCCCTACAAAGCTTTCCCTTGTTCATAACTTGGTGGGATTATCACCCCCTAGGGGGTATTATTAGCTCTCACTCACTTCCTTGGGGGATTGTAACCAACTAGAGAGGATTACCACCTCTCTCTCACTACTCTGGGGGATTATCACCCCCTAGAGTGGATAATCACCTTTCTCTCACTACCCTGGGAAATTATCACCCCCTAGAGAAGATTATCACCTCTCACTTGTCAAATTTTGATCAATCAGAGCATAACAATTGGACGTACACCAACGCGTGTCCATGGTGAGAAAATGCAAAGGCAACTGTCTTCCCTGCCTGTATTAGCTGGCTGAATTTTCGCGTCCGAATTCAGTTTGAAATCAAAATTTTAATTGTGCGGGACATATTTCATATCAATTTTAAAAAATTAAACTTGAGCCTGCGATCATATGAAAACTATTAACTTGTCAGCGGATAATTTCAAAAAATACTTGACCTCAATGGGTCGACGCCTGAGTCCGTGATACGGTCAAGCGATACTGGTCAGCGGATACCCTGTTTTGACAGCTGTCCATTAATCACAACATTAATGTCCAATATGTGTGCATTATCAGTTTTCCTGTGCTCCCAAACTAGCTAGAAAGTTTGAGATTGAGCATTAATCGCGATCTAGTAAAACAATTAACTGGTCAGCGGACAGCTTTCAAATAAATCACGTTACTTCGATGAGTTGACACATGAGCCCGCGATATGGTCATATGATACTGGTCAGTGGCTATCTTGTTTTGACAGCTGTCAATTGACCATATTGTGAATGTCCAATGTAAAAGATGTGGATTTACCAAGACACGCCTGAGACACTCCTCCCTTTCTTTTGATAGTTTCCCCTACCCCACCCATACAATCTGTAGACGAGTACGTACGTACGCTCGGTCAGTCACGTGAAAACCAAACGAAAGGAGGTTGACATATTCCATGAGTATTGCGCAGCCTTCTATCTTTCATCCAAAACAATTTGGTATTATCATTACGCTTTATGCACTGTCGCGCTAACGCACGTCAGCAACAAGTAAGTACACGCATTTGGCACTTATTGGGGCTAATCGTAATTAAGAGCGATTCTCGGTAACAGTCAGGCAACGCAGGAACCGAAAAATTTTTACCCCCACTAAATTTTTGCATGCAATTTAATGTTGTGGGGAGTGTCCAAAAAGGCACTTTGTCAAGGTTACCACTTTATTGTTGACATTGTATCGCTTTATGTTTGTTGGTGGCACCAAACTTAATATTTCACTCTAAAACTGTTCTTGAAAGTGCAAAATGTAATGTTCTGTTTTTCCAGCCCATGAAAACGATACGACTAATGGGAGATTTAACACCATCATTCCAGTTGACATTTATGTACCTCGCTTCTAATTATCTCAAATTGAATGACAAATGGTCAATCAACTACATAGAGATTCGGCCATTTGAGCTAATGGATAAAGTAAAGATTTTCTTTTCTTAAATTTCTCCAAAAGTACGTCGGTTTTAAAGTTAAGACTAAGCAGGCAGTTTTCACTGACGTTCTAGTTACTACATGTAACTCTGTAAGAATCTCTGCGGAGTGGGCTCTTTTGTTTCTATGGGCAGTTCCACGTTTGGCGTAGGTCTATGTTATAACACGCATATTGTTTTACTAAGACTGTTAAAAGAAGACCCAAATGAAACATTGTTTAAGATTTTGCTTGCTTCCATTATTTTTTCCTCTTCCCATTTATTTCTTTATAAAAAAAGCGGAAAAATCGATAATACTATTAAGGACATAAAAGTGTCTTATGTACAAATCGTAGCGAATCATTGTCATGAAATGTGGCCATAATATGTTTGGAACAGTCAAGGAAATGCAAAAAAATTGTAAAAATTACACACACTAAAGACAATTAGCGCAGTCATGTTACCTACCAGCACCAAATCAACTGTATTTTAAAACTATTTGGGGAGTTTATATTTGAATTCTGTTCAATTTATTTAATATATAAACGGCCACTTTCTCTGACCGATTTCGACAAGGTGAAAATTGCCTCTACTGTCTGTTTTGAAGTCGCTCTTTTGCTCAGGCTTATGGGCGGCTGAAACAATAACATGGGGCATAAAATACCGTAATACCCCCTCATGTTTACAGGGTGCGTATTCAAAAATCCTTCAGTCAAATACAGGTCGTGTATGACATATGGAGTTTCGAGTCAAACCGATTTATATAGTTCCCATTTCGGTGGCCTTAGTAATTACACATCCGTCAAAAGGTATGTATCGAGAGAGACGTAACGCGAGCTGTCTATATTTAAACTTTTTTGAAACTCTGTAATTCTGACATCAATCGTGCTTGCTAAATGAGCGAAGACACATAATGTAGGAGGAGCATATGCACAAATTTAATGATAAAAACTTAACAACATACAGGTACAAACAAAAGCAAAACTCTGGGCCACATTCAGCACAAGCTCTAGGATTCTAAGTCAAAAACTTTGTACTAGTGAGTAACTTGCTTTGCTCTTACGCTTTGCATTTTTTCTTCAGCGCTCATTTGCCCATTCGCGAAACATACATCCAGCTTCCCAGGCTATGAGATAAAATTGTGTGCAAAATTTTCAAAGTTTAAATTTCGCACTGAAATTAAAAAGCATGCTTTCCCTAAACACGCAACGTCTTCTGAGTTAAACTGGGTTAGTAATTAACATTAATAAACAAATAAAGAGTCTTTCGTTCACTTACAATTTTCTCAAGGAAGAGAGATTTGAAAATATCCCTAGCGGAAGCTCCTCAATCTTGTTTCCCTTTAAATTCCTGCAGGAAAATAAATGAAGTAAATGTGCATCAGAGAAAGGAAAATCATGGAATGTTATTGCCTTATAGACCGTCAACCTTCAGGGAAAAAGCGTTGAAACTTCTAGTGATCGGCTTAACCTCCCAAGAAGACGTTCTTAGGTCGTCGTCACGTGTCCCTGCCCCACCAACGTCAGCTGAAACGAGCGGTTATAAACGTACCCTAAATATATTTTCCATGCTCTCACCGCTCGTGGGCATCCTGCAGCAAGAGGGTTAGCGGAACGCTACATGTATGTGTGAGAATTCAAGGATACATTGGGTGGGAATACAGGAGAGTTTGCAAACGAAATTGGATAGGTTTTTGCAGACCCACAGGGCTACGCCCACCGCTTTAGGGAAGTCACCCAGGGAACTACTTATCAACAGACAGCCTAGACTACGATTCAGTGTGCTGAGAGACAAAAGTTTAAAACAATACTGCGCTTAGCGAAAGTGTAAAGAAAAACCCAAAACCGTTTTTGGTCCTACTTTCCCTGACTTAAACAAGTCGGCTCTATTATAGCAAACGTCGTATACAACAACCAGATGTTTACCAGCACAAAGCTGAGGCTTTAAACCGCTTCCTTTTTTCTTCACCTTCAGTAAAGTAGACGTCACTTCAAGATCCCTCTCAATATCTCCCACTTTTGACGCTCCTTCATCAAACAGCATTAAGTTATCTATAGCTGAGGTTTCGTCTGCCCTCGAGAACGTGAATCTACATAAATCACCAGGGACAGAAAAGGTCCCGGCATCTATTTTGAAGGAATGGCTGGCGAACTACAGTCTCAGTCAATTCGGTGCGACACTTTACTTTTTTCTCTCCCTCCCAATGATGGTGCACAAGATTTGGGAAAGAAATTCCCACAGTTTACCCGCCGCACAACAGGAAAGAAACGCTTGAGTAGAGTGTCGCTAAATCTAACTGCAACACGACATAATGGGCATTGATAATTTTACGGAAATGCAAACTGATAAAAATTAAATTATGTACCTTTAGTTATTACATTAAATTTTGGCCACATGCTAATTTAGCGATTTTAGAAAATCCTTCATTTTTCAAGATTTTTCTTGCTTCCTTTAGTCTTCGTCGATAATACTATTAGGGACATAAAGTTACTTTAAGTGCAAACCGCCGCGAATCATTGTCATGAAACGTAGACATAATAGGTTTGGAATAGTTAACAAAAAGCGAAAAAAAATGTGAAAATTACACAAACTAAGGACTATTAACTCAGTCATGTTGCCCACCAGCAGAAAATCAACTCTATTTTTATACTTATGGTAAGGAATTTACTCACAATTCCTGTAAGGAAACGAGATTTAAAAAAAGCACTGGCAGTAGCTTCTTGAGCTTGTTGCTTTCCAAATTCCTGCGGGAAAACAAAATAAATCAATTTGTGTCAGATAAACAGAAAAGCAAATTTTCAGCCGACAGTTTGTACACCCTATACATATTTTATCTTTTACAATAAAACGATAATAGAATACTCGGGAAAATACGTTTGTCATGATTGATTAACAGAAGTTCATTAAATGGACATGTCCTCTCGCCATATGTCATGGTCTCGGACAAGGTATAAACCATTTGATAACGGAAACGGAAATCTTGTTCCTCGTGCGATGCTCAATATAGTATAAGCACTTTAGGAACACTTAGTAGATGCGAGGATTGTTTCTGTACTAATCGTATACTTCGCTCAAATACAAAAACAGCAGTGAATATTACTTTTATTTGAATACAGTTAACCTAATAAGTTAAAAACGTGTTAAAGTGAAAGCCCTTCAAAAATGTCAACATACAATGTACACTGTAAGTAGAAGACTATTAAAGTACAAGAAAAACGCTCATAAATTTTGTGCTCCCCAGTGTAGGAAGTTGAACCTTTCTAGCATTCCGTTTGTGGAACACAAGTTATTTCAATATTTAAGTTACTTCATCTAAGGCGAGATTTGTAGGGTTTGCTTCCGCTTCTTAAAATTGGAACTAGTTCCCTCAGATACTGTGCACATTTTTGTCTATAATCCTCGCATAAGGAGGCAAAGCTTCGTCGTAGGCTATCTTAAGAAATTTTAGGAGATCTTTTAATCTCGTTTCATAGCCTACGGAGGAAATTATTTAGGCTGCTCTCGATCTGTTCTGCAGTTGTTTTAAGTTGTGTTTAAGACACGTGCTGTGAGTGTTTTGAACAGCTTCATCAAAAACGTCCCCGGAGTATTTCATTTCAAAAGCACTGGTAAAAGATGCATATCTCTTTTTAAATGGTCCATTTCTTATTTTAAAATGTGTTGATTGAACAAGATCAAACAAAAGAAAACAAAATAACTAAAGTTGAGCAGAAATAGTTATGCAAATACATTATGCATCTGAAGTACGCAGTTTAAGCGTCAACTTGCCGTCGCAATACAGCTATCCAAATGAGAGAAATTTCCACAGCTAACCGCACAACAACAGGAAAAAAATGCTTGAGTAGAGTTCCGCCAAATCTAACAGCAACTCGACATAATGGGAATTGATAATTTTTACAAAAATGCAAACTGGTAAGAATTAAATTATGTACTTTATTGCACTAAATTCTGACCATACGTTCATTAAGCGACTTTGAAAAATCCTTATTTAGTGGCACTTTAATTTCGCAACTTTTCGTAAAGTTTGGAAGACAAGTCACCTAATTTTTCAATCTCACGAACTTAAACTTTGGCGAATTAAGGTATTCAAAACTTTTAGGATGAACGACAATAGAGCATTTATGTGATAGAATCATAAACGTCAATAGCTTCATTGAAATCAAAATCATACAACGTTCTGAAACTTAATGTTGAACGAAACAAACGAAACTGAAACTGCAATGTCATATATTAATGCCTTCCTCAGTCATATTTAAGGTACATTGTCACATAAAGTCAATGCTCCTTGTACGACTACCTACTATGTGTGTATGAAACTGACCAGATCGCGGAATTTCATATTGTAGTCTCCTTAATTTAGCAACACTTTATTTTAATGCATTTTAATTTTTAGATATTTAGAAAAATCGCTGAATTCACCCTCACACCTCTCTTGTGAAAATGAGTTTTTCTGTATAATTCTCGTAACTGTTTATTGGACATACGTGCATCATGTTACCTCAAATTGTCCATGCCTAATACGAAAGCATTAAAGGACCATGGAATGATGAAATGTAGAGGCCAAGGAGAACTGGTCGTATGAGAATAAAAACTGTTGATTTTTCTGACAGAACTAAATCAGTTTTTTTCAGTTCACTGCACCCCAAAGGGTGTCAATGTTTATAACCTGGTTATTGTTGCGAAATAACCCCTACAAATGCCAGCTAGTATATTCTGTGCGAATGTACTCTCTCTCTGGAACAAGTCGCCTGATTTTCTGTGTTATGTATGTACTACGAAAAAACAAATTTTTTGCACTGACTGACACCAGGTTTTAGAATCACCTCCTGGGTTTTAAATGAAAAAAAAGACGGCTCCTTTCGAAAACCCTATTGGTAGACTGACAAGCTACTGACAGTAAGTCATGTTCTGTTAAAAATTTGAGAATTGTACTTGCATAGAGCGCTCTATAATCTTTGACACCAGGGGAAGAACTGAGATCGGTCGGTAGTTATTCAAAACATCGGTTTAGCTATAACTTGTGCTAGCTGGATCATTCAAAAGTCTCGCAGTGATATCATAAGGACCCGAGGCTTTAGTTACCTTGAGTTCAGACAGCTCCTTCAAAACAAAGTTAATTGACACCTTTCGAAGAACAAAGTTTTCTGCAACTCTAGGAGTTAAATATTGGGCATCATGGTTTTACCTTTGTAATGACCACATATAGTTTCTCAGCAACTGACGTGAAAATTTCATTAAAGCTAGCAGCCGTTAAATTTTCAAAGGCTGGGGCATTCGAAGTTTTGTGTTGCTTCTTGTTTGGTAAAAGCTCGTGTAAGGTTTTCAAAATTTACGCGAGAGTCCTGGTTTTCACATAGCTGACTGGAATAATAACCGGCTTTTTCTTTACGAAGTTTCATCGACACAGCGTTACGCAACTTTGTGTAACTGCTCCAGTGAAGCTCGTTGTTAGTTTTAATACATTTTTGTGATTAATAGCACTTTTTCATCAAGTCCTTTATAGTAGGTGTGATCCACAGTAACGATCTCCCGCGCACACGTCGACTGAGTACTGGACTATCAGCTGCAGTCATAAACAAATCCTTAAAAGAATTTCACACGTTGTCCGGGTCTGATTCAAGTTCAATGATATCCCATGGGACACGACTTAAGTCTGCTCTGAATAACTCAGGATTAAAACTTTTATAGTTTCTCGCCTTCACTGTCTTCGGTGGGGTTTTTAGGGCCTGTTTACATGGAGGTGGCGGACCCTAGGTAGGTGAGGTAGCCCCCTTAGGTGTGGTAACCCGCCTGTCCATATAATATCTCATTTAATGTGATCCCGTTTACATGTGAGGCGGGATGACCCGCCATATGCTACCTCACCTACCTGGGGTCCCCCACCTCCATGTAAACAGGCACTTAATTTGTGAAGCTTTGTAATTCCAAAAATGGCACAGCATGTCAATCAAAGTTCCATCAAAGGTCAATCAAAGTCCTGGAACTCTCGGTAATTCTCGTGCATTGACAAATAATTTGAGTCAGGTTGAAGGCTCTGGTGATATGTCAAAAGTTCTGTGCTTTCTCTTGATAGCCAAAGAAAGGCAAAGCAAAGTCACCCAAAAAGATGGTTTTCGTCTTTCTAATAGTTCACCAAGAGTGTTTCGACCTCTTGCCAGAAAACAGGAGCATCAAAATTCGGTGGTCTATAAAGACTGCTAAACAAGATTTTCTTGCTTCTTTTCGGTGTAAATTCTAATCAAAGAACTTCGATATCAGAGAGAGCTTCCATGATTATGTGGTTAAACTGTAGATGCTCATCAATATAAACTGCCACGCCGCCTCCGAAAGAATCTCTGTCTCTTCTAAT